TTTCGGGCCAAGCGTACCGCAGCCCTTGTCACAGCGACTCACAGGTTGTCTTGGCTTCAAGCACGCGAGCAAGAGGAGCGCACCGAGTGGGTGGCTCGATTCCGGGATTCTCAGAAAACCCTCGGGCAGGTCATCAAAGAGGTCTACGTTGCCCGCGACCCGCATTGGATCCCAATTTCCTCTAGTGCCTCCGTCGCGAGCTCCAGCCAGGTGCAAGCCCCACCTCCCCCTCCAAAAGTCGAGTCTCTTTTCCAGCTATTGGGCACCATCGCGGGCAAGAAGGTGGCGGCACGTATGAAAGACGGCAAGCAGCTTTGTAGCGAGTTCCAACGGGGCAAATGCAACAAGAAGGACTGCTCCTCCGGCGCACACCTCTGTGGAGTGGTGATCCGGCACGAGCGGGTGTGTGGGGGCCAGCACACACCGGCGCAATGCAAGAACAAGGTGAAGCCTTGAGGGTGCCCCGGGCCCGACGAGGCAGGGTCGGGCCTGGGGGACGCCGCTCCTGCGCCTGCCGCCTATGATGCTGATCAGCGTGCTTGTCTGTCGCCGTCCGTCCTAGCCCTTGGGCCGGACCCCGACGACCTGCTGGGCACGGCCTTCCTGTGGTGTGGGTGGCGTGTTCTTCCGACCTCGGGGCTGCACGGTCCAGCCGGGAACCCTGGTGACGCCAGGTGGTTCGACGCCACGGCCGCGGACATCGCCTCCGCCGACCTCTTGTTCATTTCTTGGGACCAGGCAGCCCGACCACGAGCCGGTGAAGTTCCGGCGGTTTTCGATGATGGCCGTGCAGACTCGCGCCTTTTTGCCGACCGCGTGGCTGCGGGGCGGGACCCCGCAGCCCGGTTGCGGAGCAGCGCCCCCGGCACGACAGCCGAGGATTTCCAGAACGCGGTGCTAGCTTTCCTCCAAGGCCAGGTGGTGCAACGTCAGGCGCGTGGAGGCTGCATCTTGGAGGACGCGTTGGCCGACGCGTGCTGGCAGGCACCGGTTGTCACGCAGAGCGCGTCCGCTGAAGTATGGCATGACACACCATACTCTTCCTGTGTCTTCGCGGGGGCACGCTGCCGGTCACAACGACTTCGCCGCAATATCGAGGAGATTGCATCGGGGCCGCCTTGTTGTGCCAGCACTTTCACGACCCCCTGGAGTGGGACCCCGACTGGGTCGGGGGCGAGTGGCGGCTCCCGAGCCAGGAGGAGGCGCAGGTCACGGCCCCGTTTGCCTTCTTCATTGCAGTTTCGGCGTCTTGGTGGGCTGCCCGTCGAGGTCTGGCGGTGGTTCGGATACACCGGCTGCCACCGGTAGAGAGCACCGGTCGGCGGGAGCATTGGCTTCAGATTGCCCCCGAGGCGCTGCGGTCGGAGGCCATGTCGCCTCTGGCTGTCTCTCTGGGCCTTAGGCCCGGGCAGATCCCAGCTGCCGACCAGTTGCCAGTGAAAGCCCTGGCAGAGGAGCGCGTGGCAGCCAAGGGCCTGTTACCGGATGGTTGCGTGTATGTGGGTCAGGGCAACTACCAGCACCGACTTCCTACCTCGAAGTGGCGTAACCCTTGGGTAGCTGGGCTTACTTGCGACCCAGGACAGGCCTTGTCGCGCTATGCTGACTTCGTCGTGGCCGAGTTGTGGCACGATCTCGGGGAGCTAGCGGGCCTGACCCTGCTCTCCGACACCCCCATGGAGGTTCCGTGCGAAGCAGACGTGTTGGCAGGACTCCTATTCCTTCGCCTTGGCGGTGGTGGTCGGCTTCCTCATCCCAAGACGTCTGGTCTTTGGTTACCGAGCGGGGCGAAGGTTCGAGCGGCGGGGGCCCCAGATGGTGCGATCAGACAGGCGGTACCTGTCCCCTTCCAGCAAGAGGCGGTAATCCTGC